TTTTCTATTTCTTTTTTTCTTTTCTTTTCTATTTTTCTACTGTTTCTTTTTTAATTACTATATGAAATATTTTTGTTTTTTAATTTAAAATTTTCATTTCATGTGTTACATAAGATATATATCATATAATTTTTCCTTTCTATTCTATTTTTTACTTTTTTGTACTTCTTTCTTTTTCCTTTTCTCTTTTGTCTTTATGTTTTCTATAATATGTAACAAGAATATAAAAATACTTTGTAATAAAACTTGCATCTTGTAAGCTTGATCCTTCATAATGCTCATCCAGATTAAGTCCTCGATTTGAGTGAGAGTTTGCATTTTCATGATTTATTTCAGGATTTATATCTTTGGAATATGCTTATAAGGGGTGTATGTGCATGTGTTCATAGTATACATCTTCGTCTGTACTATCATTCACAAAAAAAGAAGATTAATTCTTGGTTGAAAACTGTTTTCAATAGGGTAAATGTGGACGCCTTCGTATTAAAAAATAATCAAATAGTTGAAAACTATATTGTGATGTATGCCTCTCTGAAAGGATACGCATGAACTGAAGTACTCTCCTCTATTCCAAATTATTCCTAGATACATAGCTTATCTAGAAATAATAGAACGACTTATATAATTTGAAATGAAGGAAGAACAGTACAAAACTAATTTGAGCCTACCCGCTGATCATCTCCCACCAGATTTCATGGAGATTTTCCCTTTTGGGGCTATGAAGACGTCAGAATTTGGGCAGCAAAAACAATAGGGAAAAGTCGGTGAACTGTACCCACGAGTACTATGACCTAAACAATTCCATTTGGAGACAAAACAAACAAAAAGTATGACATTGGTGAGAAGAACAAACAACAGTTGGAGACGCAAAGCATCTCCGTTTACACACGTACACATAAAAAAACTCAATCTGCGGGGACGACGTCCCACCGGTATTTCATTAAGAAAAAGATTTTCTCACGTAGATCAAAAAAATCTCTAAACGTTGATTTTTTTACCCTCAGACATAAAATTCGCTCCAGAGATAGAGATCTGCCGCAGGAAGCTCTGACCAACCGCCGGTCTAGCTTCCGTTGGCACACGCACACATGGGCATGGAATGTGGAAGGCACGTCCACACGGGCACACGCCCATTCGGAAAGGGCATGATCCCATGATCTCATCCCATCCCTGGCCCCTGGCGTGTTCTTCTACGCTGCCTGCCGATTGAAAGATACGGAGTAGATGCAAATCTTTCAGGAAAAGAAAAATTAGATGCCTCAGAAAGGCCCCGGCCCCCCCGTTCCCACTCCACGGAGTCTGGCCGGCCAAGTGAATCCTCCAAGTAACGGCTCTTCTTCAATTATTGGATGCCATAGCTTCGGATCGATTGTTAGCGACGTCCACATCTAAAATATAAAACTCATTTGACCTTTGATAGTGCTACATGTAAAGGGTTCAATATCTATTCGACATTTTCTCCAACAACAGGATTCAAAAGAGAATCCTTTCTACAAATGAGTTTTTAGGAGAGAACATGCTCATATTTGAGTTGTGTCTCTCAGACAACCCAAAATGGATCTCCCGAATAGGTAGTCTATTGAAGACTAATTTTGGGTCTCTATTACCCATTTTAGGTTTAGGTGCCCATACAGTCTCTCTTGTTGGAAACGGTGCCTTGCACTCATGGTGTGGCTTCGGACTTCCAACCTTTTTGATCAGTTCTGTTTGGTTACGTAGATTATGAACTCTTGCGTTTTATATAACTGTATATCTATAATATAATATATTTGTTTGATGTTGAAAATTAATATTGCTATATATGTGTATTTCTATGAATTTGGTCAAACTTCATTTTAGAACAAATGGTATAGTGATTTAATAGTTGAATATAACAAACAACCACGAAAATACTAGCAAACCGTACAATATAAATTGTTTAGAATGCATCACCATTTGAAAAAAAATAAGGCATATGGTTTAAAACCATTAATTTGCAACGAGCATAAAAAAAAAGTGGTACCATCTTAACTTTGTTTCAATCGTCAACGTCAAGCATGGTTCTTGCTAGCGGAGGCGGCGGGGAGCCCTCCCTATCATCATCAAGCGAGCAACATCATTTATTAACAGAAGAATGCTGCCAACAATTAAGGTGAAAAATATATTACAGTGGCGAGCAGCGTCGTTACATTAAAATTACATCGAGCATGACACTATAGAGAACAATATTTGTATGGCAAGCAGGTGACATCTTGCCAGATCACATGCATAAGCAAAGACAAATCCAACGGTTCATAAATCGTGTGCCAGAAACAAACAAATTACTCCAGCAATTGAATGTCAAGCATGTCAATGCATGCGTGGTCCATGTCAAGGATTTAATCCATATAAAATGTGAGCACACTTCGTGAATTGGGTGGTGGTATGATAATTGATAACTACAATTGTGTGAAATAAATGATGTTCTGGATATTGACTTGTTCTCCAAAATACTGACTCTGACCATAATCTGGTTTATGTTTGTATTTGCCCTACATTATAAAGATATATGGAACTATTTTATGTATAAATCTACCTACATCATTTTTCAATATATCCAAAAATCAACATATAAAACATAATTTGCAATTGGAGTTTGAAATTGTTAGTTTGAGAAAAAAAAAGTCAACTGTAGGAGTAAATATATACTCCCCCGTCCACAAAAAATGCAATTCTTACATCCTGAGGAGTCAAACATTTCAAACTTTGACTAGAATTATATAAAAAAGTACTAACATTCATTAAACAAAATAAGTATCATTATATTAGTTATAGAATATATATTCGTAATAAATTTATTTGGAGATATAAATATTAATATTATTTTCTATAAACTTAGTCAAACTTGAGCTAATTTGACTGGCACGCTTTCCACAATTACGTTCTTTTCTGGACGGAGGGAGTATTAAGCTAACATCTGGAATTGGTCTTCCTCTGCGACTTGAATGAAGTAGCAGATGCCACTCTACGTCCTGTTCATTTGGGCTGGTTTGGCTTATAAGTCATGGCTGAAAGTACTGTTGGCTGATTTGGTGTGAGAGAAAAATATTGTTCGTTGGCTGATAAGTCATGGCTTATAAGCCAAATACGACCAAACGAACAGGCTGCTAGTAATCGACATTCTCATGCACCTAAAAGATCCTGCACATCTGAGAATCAATCGAGCGGGGTTCATGATCTGAATCAATGCAAAGACGCCAAAAACATTTTTTCCTCACTAAAAAAACGTCATGCGAATTAGAGACGAACAGCAAGATGTGAAGGATTATCAAAGACGTAGCACTACTGGTCTACTGCCAACAATATCTCTCGGTGAAACTGGACAATATATATCTGCCACAGGCTACAGCCGCGTGGAACACGTGAGCAGATCCGCTCGTCATCCCTGATTCATTTCGGGGCCCTATCATTTTGGTTTCTTTTTATATATATAAAATGAGTGGCTATTAGGCTATATGATTATTGTATAATCCTGTCAAAGTGAACATTTTCGCTTACTTGGTTAGACGTGCTGAATGGAAATAGAAGTATAATTCAAGTTTATTAATGTACTAATTAAGGATCCGTTTGTATCTCTATGACCAATAGTTAGCTGCTAAAAACTAGATTTGTTTGATCCTCAACTAATAAATTGAGCTAATGTCTTACCAACCACCCAGCTTACAATTAGCTATTAGCTTATTTCTCCTAGCTAACATAGCTAATAGTTAGCTTGGTGGACTCAAACATATCTTAAATCCTATCATCACATGTGATTGTTTTTCCTAAAAAACACTTAGAGCATCTCTAACTGTTTTTTCCTAAAAAAAATGCCAATTTTACCAAACCACCTAAAACAATTGGGAGAAAAAACAACAATGTACTCCAATAATTCTTAAATTTTTGGTTCCAAAGAAAAACAAATATGTGCCACATCTTCTTTTCCGCCGAGCAAAACTTTGCGAGCGGTGATTGAAATCTGTTGATCGGTTTTTCTTAATCTCGGCTGAAAAAGGTTTTTAGACGGTTAATTTGTATTAACTCCCGGAGATGCTATGGCCCTGGTTAATTTTTTATACCAATTATAGTATGGATTTATACTAGCCAGAACTTGCATCTGAATCTAAGTCGGAGAGCAGTTCATCTTCAAATGTTTTCAGAACTTGGTTCGTAAGAAAAGTATACTCCAAAAATTTAAACCATGTCGACTAATCGAATTCCAAAATTTTGGGGAGTATAACTCGTACAACACAATATTTATGTTTTTTTTGCCACGGTTATAAGGTAGAAATTTCGCGCATACTCCCTGTGTTCCTAAATATCTGTCGTCTTTGCTTCCCGAGAAACAACTTTAACTAAATATATATTAAAAATATTAATATTTATAGTATATAATTAGTATCATTGAAAAGATCTTTGAATTTTAATAAATTTATTCGGAGATATAAATGTTGCACATATTTTCTATAAATCGAGTCAAACTTGTAGCACGCACACAAACGACGACAGCTATTTAGGGACGGAGGGTCCCCTATTTTCCTGCATAAAAAAATTGCTAAAGAAAGTAAACAAGATTCTCGGCGATTAGTTGAACGCATCTGAATCTCGGCGACTAAAACATTCTGTTTCTAATCCCCAGTAGCAGTAAGCTTTCAACTCGAAGAACAGGAGTTCGGTAGAAGTAAAAAACTCCACGTGTACCACTAAAAGGAATTCTCCTGGTCTGCGCCGTTCTCAGAGCGAGCAACAAATTTCCAACAGAAACGGTACCAGAAGAACGCACGCGAGAGGGAACCCCGAGCCAAGAAAGCGAGACAGCTGCGGTCGCCGTCCGAGCTCTTGCCGTCCCCATCCACCCCTCTCGCCCTCCACTTCCTCCTCTCTGTCTTTCGCTCCGTTCAGCCGCCGCGTAATCCGCGGAACAAACCAGATGCCCTTATCCGCCCTCTGACCGAATCCGGCGAGAAAGGCCGGTTCTTTGTCCTGCCGAGCCGGCGATCTTGATGGCATTGGAGGCGGGGAGCAGCGGCGGCGGCGGGAGGGGATGGGGCGGCGGGTTCCGGAGCCTGATGCGGCGGAAGCAGGTGGACTCCGATCGGGTCCGCGCCGAGGGCCAGCCGCAGCTCGCCAAGGAGCTCAACGTGCCGGAGCTGGTCGCCATCGGTGCGGTTTCTTCTCCCTTGTGATTCTGTGCTGTGTTCCGCTTTCATGCGAATTCGTGGTATTTTGCTTATGAAAGGTATGGGCTTTGGTGGTTTGTGAGTGCTAATTGTTTTGCGGGGTTTTAGCGAATTCTGGTCAGGACGCCGGCTTTGCTGAGGAATTTTGCTGATGTTCTGGGTCAATGGAGCAGCTAGAATTAGATGCATTGATTACTAATACTTATTTAGTGCGGTTTACTGCATGAGTTGTCTCTACTTCAACTTGCAAGTTTTCCTTCGTTCTTCCTTTCAAAACTGGCTTACTCTGCTCTGTGCTCTCTCCCTTCAAGTAAAAAATGTTGATTTGTTACTCTCCTGTACGTTGGATGGCTGCATTGGTGTCTGACATAACGTTCAGACGCGCGTCACGCGGATGCGGATAGCGGACTTGCCCTTTGTTATGTAGTATAACTGCTATTATTGGTAGTTGGTTACTTGGTTTCCTTCGACTTGTTCAGTTTTTTATAGGTTAGCCAATGTTGGCTGCCAGCTGTGGATGGTGGATTTCTCTATCCTCCACTCCAACTGTCGCTTTTTTCCCTTCGACTTTTGTTCACTCCTTGCAAAGATAAATTACTCTAATAAGTTTGTGCAAAGATAAATTATCAAAATTCTACCTAGGTACAGTGATATAGGTTACTTCAAAGCTTGTTGTTCTTGAAAGTGAAAACTTTGATGGGCTGAATCAGATTCTTATAGTAATAAAGTTTGTCAATCATTCTACTTCATGATGAATCTATATGTCAGTTGCTTGATGTTAACGAACTACTATATTTTCTATCAGGGGTTGGTTCCACAGTTGGAGCTGGAGTATACGTTCTTGTGGGAACAGTTGCTAGGGAGCACGCTGGTCCTGCATTGACAATTTCATTTCTGATAGCTGGAATAGCAGCCGCGCTTTCAGCTTTCTGTTATGCTGAGCTTGCTAGTCGTTGCCCCTCTGCTGGAAGTGCCTACCATTATTCATACATCTGTGTTGGAGAAGGGTAAGTTACTGACCCACGAGTAAATATACATTCTTTTATGATATGAAATACTAGCTCTTTCGGACAAGTATGATAAACTGTATTGTTTTGTCAATATGCAAATGAAGAAATTTACAGCTTAAGCTTTCTAGCTATAAACAAATGCCTAGAATGAACTCACATGGTCGTTTTATTTACCTAGTGTTGCCTGGTTGATTGGCTGGGCTCTTGTGCTGGAATATACTATTGGTGGATCTGCTGTTGCCCGTGGCATATCTCCAAATTTAGTAAGTGTGATGTCTCTAGTATCTAGCTCGTTTCAACTGTATTCAGTCAATGCTTTGAATCATAGGCCTGGTTTGATGAACTTTGTTTATTTTTCCAGGCATTGTTTTTTGGAGGACAGGATAGTCTGCCATGGATTTTAGCACGCCATCAGCTTCCATGGTTTGGTATCATTGTTGACCCCTGCGCAGCTGCTCTTGTTTTTGTTGTGACTGTTTTACTGTGCGTGGGAATTAAAGAGGTTGCCACTTTGATCGATTCATTAGTTCTTATTCCTTTTCTCCACAAATACAGAACCACTTATGACTTATGGCCATTCTATTTGAACTGTTGCAGAGTTCATTTGCACAAGGAGTTGTAACAGTTCTGAATGCTTGTGTAATGATATTTGTTATTGTGGCTGGTAGTTATATTGGCTTCCAAATAGGATGGGTCGGCTACAAGGTTTCTGACGGGTAATGCATAAAGGCTTGGTGCTTCCTTTCTATTGGGGGATTTCATTAGTGGTGTGCTAATAGGTATCTGAACTTTCCAGGTATTTCCCACATGGAGTAAATGGAATGCTTGCTGGATCAGCAACTGTTTTCTTTGCATACATAGGCTTTGATACAGTCGCTAGTACAGCTGAAGAGGTTAGGAAAGTCCCATCTGACAGAGATGTGCGCTTCTTTTACAAGAGTTATTCGTTTTTACCCCCTTTTGACCCCTGCAGGTAAAGAATCCACAGAGAGATCTGCCATTGGGAATTGGAGTAGCATTGGCTATTTGCTGTGCGTTGTATATGGCTGTTTCTGTCGTTATTGTTGGGCTGGTACCGTATTTCGCCATGGACCCAGATACTCCTATTTCATCAGCCTTCACAAAACATGGAATGCAATGGGCCATGTAAGTCCTGACTTTTTGTTTACCCCTTTGTGTATACCAGTCATCGGCTTACAGACTTTACCATCTAATTTTAGGTATGTTGTGACAAGTGGTGCTGTTCTTGCACTCTGCTCGACCTTGATGGGTTCACTTCTTCCACAGGTATACACTGCTAAAAGCATACTATGACTTACTCCTGATGACACCCACTGGCTGAAAATGCAATGGAACTTGTGCTTCTCATTCTACTGACAGTCACTCTGCAATAAGTTGTGTGAACCTTGCCTTGTAACTTGCCAAAACTGATTTGCTCCAGACCCTTATTGTAAAATATGTTTGTTCTTGACTTAGCACCTTGGATTCCATGTTTAACTCAACATTATCCATCAATTGCATTGACCCCCATTCGTTCATTTTCAATTAAATCCCATTCAACTAATGCTGCAATGAACTTTGATTTGCCATGCCACATCTGTGAGCGAAGATGTAGGCATGTAGTACTATGGCGTACCACATCAGCTCTAGGTAGATGATATTTTAATACTTTGTGTCATTATGATTTGAATTGTTATTCTCGCAGCCTAGAATACTTATGGCCATGGCACGAGATGGTCTGTTGCCATCCTTCTTCTCTGATGTTAACAAACAAACTCAAGTACCTGTTAAGAGCACAATTGTGACTGGCATCTTTGCAGCTGCTCTGGCTTTTGCAATGGATGTTTCACAGTTAGCAGGAATGGTAAGTAACCAGCTATCTGTGATTATTTGTATAATCATAGCCATTTTTACAATGGATTATGGAAGAGAAACTTCCTGCAGGACTGTACATGCATGCAAGCATTACAAATCATGTAAGGTGGAGTGAAATAAAAATTATGTTCTTTCGGTTGCAGGTCAGTGTAGGCACACTCCTTGCATTCACCATAGTTGCTGTCTCAATCTTGATACTCAGATATGTCCCTCCGGATGAGGTCCCTTTGCCACCCTCTATGCAAGAATCATTCCGTTTGAACCAGGAATGCGATGAGGAAACAGACAGGGGCCTTCTTGGCGTTGGGAACTGTAATTTGTCTCAGACAAAGGATGTGATTGTGGTAGTAGAATCAGTGAAGGACCCTCTCATTGATAAAAGACTGCATAAAGGTAATACAAATTTGCTTTCAGGTTTTATTCAGTTTCGTTGTTCCACACCAGATACATTTTACTTCAGCTAGCTAACTAGAATGAATTTCCATGTTAATTCTGTAGGCAAGATGGATGAGACGAAACGCCGAAAGATAGCCTCTTTAAGCATAGCGTCTGTGTGTGCAGGGGTTCTGATCCTCACATCTTCAGCCTCTACCACATGGTTGCCTTTGTGAGTACCATATGACTCTGTCTGAAAGGATAGTAGGCTGGCTCTTTCAATTGGTCACTTTATGATTCATCACATTAACAAACATAGATAAACTCATTGTCCTAACAAAAGTATCTTGCCCTATATCAGTCTCCCGATATGTATTGGCTGCATCATTGGAGTTGTGCTCCTTCTGGCTGGCCTCAGCTTGCTCTCCTGGATCGACCAAGATGCTGGCAGGCACTCTTTTGGTCATTCCGGAGGTACTGCTATCAAATTTACATAACCCTGCCTACCAATATATTTGAACTAAACAGTACATATCTGTGATTTGTTTTCTGCAGGATTCACATGCCCTTTTGTTCCAGTGCTACCAGTTTTGTGTATCCTGATAAATACGTATCTGTTGATAAACCTGGGGTTAGTGTCGAATCTATTATTCTGTTTCAATGGAAATACTAGTTGTAAATGACTGACTTGCCTTCTCTCTTTGTGATTAATCTGAATTGCGCATTTCCCATGTGTTCTTCAGTGGTGACACATGGATGAGGGTTGGCATATGGCTGCTGATGGGTGTTCTTGTGTACGTTTTCTATGGACGAACCCACAGCTCCCTAACAGATGTCGTCTACGTTCCGGTAGCGCAAGCTGATGAGATATACAGGAGTTCATCAGGATATGTATCATAGAAAAGAACAGCTGCAGTCATGTGACGTGATAGAGTTACAGAAAGACCGACCGGATGATATTTACTTAAAAGGTGGTTGGCCATCTGTTGTAGATAATTGGTTATCAGCCAGGAAAGACAGGAACTGACTGTTACTTCTTTCATGCTTGGCAACAGGATCTCGTGGATGCAACTTCGCAAGATATATGCTGTTCACGAGCCAGGTCAATTTACACATTGTTGGAGTGTGTGTAGATGTGGTGTATATAAACCCAATTGGGTGGAATATGTGATACATAATTTGTGTAATTCATGTAAAGCCCTTTGTACTGAAATGTGAGGGCATTCAAAGGACCTATTGAAACAGAACAAGAATGGCAAAAGAAGCCACCTTTTTCATATCATACGTCATCAACAAACATTCTCTTCAAGATTTTGTTTAGTTGCAGATTTGACCTTGGTCAGTGGGTTAAAAGGTGTACCTGTTTTTCCTCGAACAACTGTGTGACTTTTTTAGGGATAAAAAGTCCACTGCACAAGTCATAATTGTGATAGTTTAAATTCACTAGTCACTTGGTGGAAGGATGCCGCAAGCAAAGTGCCTAGAGCGGAGCGGAGAAGGTTCAATGGCTTGGTGATTTACACTTTCTGGAATTTATGGAAAGAGAGGAATAGGAGAATTTTTAACAATGCCACAGAAACGGTGCTACAGGTGGCCACGAGAATTAAGGTGGCCGCGAGAATTAAGGAAGACATAGACCTTAGAAAGAGGGCCTTTTCATAGGGGCTGCTCTTCTTTCTTTATGTGGGGCTTTGATTTTTCTGCTGTGTGACAGCCGAGGGCCGGGTCTCTCTTCCCTTTTTATATAAACTTCTCTTTTTTCCTATCTTAATTGAAAGGCAGAGCTCCTGCCATTGCTTTTAAAAAAAAATCACTAGTCAGAATTTGCCGTCTATATTTGTGGCCTTCACCTTATTCAGCTGATGTTGGTATATCTCGAAGTGTTCTATGCTATAAAATGGATTGGCACTACTTGTTGTTCTAGACCATAAGCATATGTATAAGCCATTGCCCTGGAACCCATAGAGCAGAGCCGGTAAGGTCACAATCTTTTTGTGCCTAAAACCTTGTACTAGTAAAAAAAATATATTACTATAGTATGAGTTCCATCCCTGGATTGAATCTGACTTGGGACTCATTTGGCCGTGGCAGTGACTTCCACCATGAACATAATATGGTAAACACCTGATATTATTTTTCAACCATGAAAATATCTCTAAGCTTCTAATTTTTTTTTTTTGAGATGGTAAGCTTCTAAAAATTCTGAAAGAACTCTAGAAATAGATTGGGACAGTAACAACCAAAAAAAATATTTAGAGTCGGTGAGGGCATCTCTAGAAGTTTTTAAATTTTGGATTTAGTAGAAAAATGAAAATAACTAAAAAAATCTGGATAATCCCTAAAACACTCTATCAATATCAGTTTGCATTTTTAAAGTTTTCTACAACAAAACACAATATGCGACAAGCATGAATGCATTTGTTACATGCTAGTTGAATTTCATAATTTATTTTATAAAATTTTAGACGTATTTAAACACTAATTAGATTGTTTCAGAAAATTTAGAGATTTTTTCATACTCCTGGAGCTAAATCTATTTTTTAGAAACTTCTAGATATGTTATTCATGAACTCTAATATTTAATTTGGGTTTCTCTTTACCACTATATTTTCTAAGATTTTCTCATAATTTTTAAAAACAGAATTTCTAAATATCTTCCGGCAGTTTTTTTGTTTATGTTTTCTTCCACTTTTGTATGGTGGAGATGTTTGTTAAGATTCGTGCTCAGTCAAGTAATATCTTCCCGTTGCGTTCTATGCTGTGAGCCGTTGTCTTTGTTTACAGTTATCCCGCTTCGTTTTGTATGTATCTAAAAATATTATCCCACTGCCTCATTTCAATCTGGGACTGACTGTTCTCGGTCGACGGCGGGTGTGGCCTTGCCGGCGGCGGCGGCGGTTTTGTCCGTGGTGGTGGCGGGCGCGTGTAGCCGGCTGTCGCAGCTGCCCGGTCCTCCCTGCTCCGCATGCCTCGACGCACTCTCGAGCTCTCCCTTCAAGCTTGCCATGATTCAGACTCCTTCCCCGTCTGTCATTGTCTTTTTGCGTCGTGTGCATGGGTCACCCTCGTCGCCACACCCTCGTCCGCCCACAGGTGAGTCTTCTTCTCTCCCTCCCTCCTCTATCGCATCTGTCTCCCCCAAACGGTGGTGGGCGTGGTGGGCGTCGATTGCGCGGCGAGTAGTCGGCGATGCGAGCGCCGGCGAGCATGTCGCGGAGCAGCGGCGCGGCGGTGGGCGGGAGCAGCGAGGCGACAACGTGGAGCGAGGTGGTCTCTGGCGCGGCGCTTAGGCGGCCTGCTGAGGCGGCGACGGCGGCGTCGAGGGCCGTGGACGGCGGCGGGGTGAGAACCTTCATCGCCACAAGGCGTGCACCAAAGATTGGCATGGCGGGGATTGGATTGGGATTAGATTTGTCTGGGCATGGGCGCCAAGTGTAAAAATGAGAGGAGTAGTTTATTGTTCGAGGTTCAGTGTTTTCTCTGATTTGTTTGTTCTCGATGTTGATGATTGCTATCAAACCTAGGAGAATTTTTTTAATTTTAACCCTTTTTTAATATAATTTTAAATCTAACACTGTCGGTTTTTTTAAAACTAACACTTTTGGCCGCGCCTATTGCCCTAGCGCGGCCAAATGCAATGCCCTTTCATGCATGGCGCAGGCGAGAGCGCTGGCGGCGGCAACCATCACCGCCGACCGCTGACGTGGAAAGGCTCGACGCCCACCTATCTTGGCGGCGGCAGTCTTGCGCTCCTCGATTCGTGGCGCGATGAGCCGATATAACCACCCGCCAGCCAGTCCGCTCGCCCGGCGCAAAGAAAGCGCTGGCGTCGCTCCCGCGCCCGTCCGTCGCCACCGCGGCCGCCCGTCGCCAACCACACTGGCCGCCACGCCACAAACGGCGGCAGCCCCAACCGCCGGCCCTCCATTGCCGCCTCCCTCCCTTCCGTTCCATTCTCCGGCCGCCTCCATCCCTTCTCGTTCTCGTTTAAGGTTCTTACGCACATTTTATTTTCGTTTGAATGGTGGATATGATATTATGAATGAAGTTAAGGTTAGCAGAAAAATTATGTTTGGGAACTATGGTGAAGATATAAGTTTGAGTTTGTCAATGTTAAAGTTAATTATTTAGTTAGAAGTATGTTTGCCATATATTTTTTTTTTGGTATAATTGTTGTTTATAATATTTTAGTTCCATTGCAAATGATTACATTTTTCATTAATTTGCGTTGTTTTGATTGATGTTTAATTTGAACCATTTTTTTAGATGGAAGACATGTTTCGAAATCAGTTATGACGAAAACGGGGTCGTCCTAGAGAAATGTACCCAGACGAGTCTAGCAAAGATGCCCCCGTCCCTTCTGAACTCCCTGTCCCTAATGTGACTGTGGTCGTCCGGCCGACGTGTTTCAATCAAGACATCCCGACACAACGGCTCGTTGCTTCTACACGTGCAGTTGTTTTAATGTAAGTAATTGTTTCTACTATCTTTTTCTTCTTCATTTGTATTACTAGATAACTAATATTTTGTGCCGCGCCATAGTACATGGCGCGTCAGTGCTGCGCCAGATCCCACGGCGCGGCAGTGACGCAGCCAGACCACGGCTTCAAAACAATTGAGTTGTTGTCGGTGCTGTATAAAACTACAAGTGCGGTACCAAACGAACATGACGCAAATAAATGGACGACAAGTTGCAATACAACATTTTCATTGTTTATGAGTCTACAAGTTTTCGACGAGAATATTCGTTCGATATAAGTTCGATGTAATGAACTAAGTCACACGACGTAATGAAACCTCGTCGTCCGGTAGAAGAAGGGGGTCGTCGTACTCCATATCAAGAAGGGGGATCAACTGGTACGACGTGAAAGGGGCCATCCTGTTACAAAATGATAAACAAAGGGTTAGAGTATTCAAATTAACAATTTTTAGATTAATATTATGTAGCATTGCAAAAATTGAACTACATGTTATGCAATACGAAAACAATATGAAATCACCTGCTGTCTTCTATGCCGGCTAGCCTTATGGCCAGATTGTTTGCAAACGGAGCAAAGATTCCTGCCACGGGTCTCGTTGAAGTCTCCCCTGCCGTACATGTCTTCCTCGTACCCTCTCATAGCGTCCATGTCCCCTTCAATCGCTTCTTCTTCCTTCTACCCTTCCCTACCTTCATTAGATCCGGATGTGGCACGTAGTCATAACTATTATAAGGTGGCCACCGTGTTGGGTCTAGGTATGGCTCGAAGCTCATCTCCCAAATACTAACGGTGTTCGAACGGAGATACAAGGGTGACATATATGGTAGATCCTCATAGTTGTACCCGCGAACCCTGCAGGTCGTGATCATATGAGAGCAAGGGGCATGCATGATCTGAGGAACCGGTCCTAGCATGGCATTAGACGGTGTTGCCACAGCATCTGTACCTCCTTGGTCATCATCAAAATCGTCTGAATCACTGCTAACCACATCACCGATCCTGTCCTCCTCCTCCTGCTCCTCCTCTTCTCATTCGAACTCATTCATATCGAAGTCATTGCTTATACAGCCTACTGCAGTTGAATGAAACTGCTCCTGCGTCAACTGACCGTCCAAATCCATGTTATCCTGAGTTGCTTCCCTTTGACACCTAATTCTTGTTCATTGCCTCCAAAACCATCAATGGACGGGCCGTCCTGCACACCATGCATCCTGTACCCATTCTCCACGACCACCTCAGCCATAGACACATTGGAACCTTGGAGAACCCTAGTGTAGCGGAACCAGTGAGCATGGTCGCGCAAGGGCATGAGGACATAGTGTGCCCTAGTCTTCCCAGTATCAAACCTCCCCTTCAGTGTGAAATCACCCCCAAACTTTGTATTTAAACGGACACAAAGATCGTTGAAGCTAAGAGGCT